TTTTTTTTTTTTTTCTCTCTTCTCGTATTCCCTCGTAATAATGCAAATGAGAAACGAAGGTGAAGCAGGATGGATTTAACGTTTCCCGCTCGTGAATGGCGAACCTGATGCATAAGGATTGCGTTTAATTGAAAAGCACGTGTTGGTACCTCGAACATTAATCTCTGTCTACAGTGTACAATTGTAGAAGGGGGAGTGGGAGGAAAATACGAAAGAGATAGAGAGACATTTAATAACGTTCTACGTTGTCTATCCCCACAATCGAAACGTAAATGCGAAAGATATCTATGATTTATGATGTAGGATTTTGCGCGTGTGATTATCTGCGCGTGTCGCAACAGTAATTTGCCTTCCACTTACCCGCAGGCTCAGATACATCAGCACAGAGTGTAGCAACGATGGGACGAGCACCAGTCGTTGAATCTGAAATTATCGTGAAAAGAATAGATCGCTAGTTTGCTAGACTGAAATTTCGTTGGGTCGATGAAATTCGCGAACCTCGAATGTGAAATTTACGACGACGAGTGAAAGAAACAATTTTTCAAACGCTCGATTTCATTATTTGATGCGACGTATAGTGGCGGGTAATTCAAAATTTTATGAAGTGGAATTGTACAGATATAATATGTATCTTAGAGTGGAATATTATTATTATTTGTATATATTATTTGTATGTATATTTTAGACTTTCTTTCTATCATCTACTGTATATATTGGTGATATGGAAGTCAGCTCAGAGATTGAAGAATAAGATTCTCGAATATGAGAGTTTCTTCTTTTATTATTTGATGTACATGAAAATTAGATTATTTATAATATTGCGTAACTTGAAAGTTACACGTCCACATAGTATTTACATTTTAGAAAAATATTATGTATTTATCACTTTATCGTTTTGTATTTTATCAATACAAGTATCATTATCAAGATACCAAGTGAAGAGAATATTCTAATTTTTAGTTAGGACAAACAAAACTAACTAATAATTCTTTTCTCCTGTAAGGAAACGAAGCTTCTAAATTACAAAGTTAAGATTAAGGGCCAATTAGTACCATCAATGTAATAATGCAAAAAATATTAAGAGAATCCTTGGAATTTCTTTTCAATAGTAGTTTCTAATATTAAGGAATAGACATTGATAATACAAGTTGATTGAAAAGAATTATTGCGATGGGTCCCTGATCTTGATTAAGGGTCGAAGATTAAGAAAAATGAGATTTTTAAGTGTGACGAATTAGCAGGAATTTTGTTCATCAGACTTACTATCATTCTTTCACTGTGTCTTTTCTTTGTGTCATTTAAAACAAATTTGTGTGTACCTCCTTTTTTTTTTATTTTTAAAGATTCTTCCTTATGAATCTTTTGTTTCTTTGTAACTTTAATTTTCTTTGAAGTACAAGTGTCCCTACCTTGTGTTTCTCCAATACTGAAATAAACCTCTCTGGATCTCTAGTGATATGTTTGGGAATGACTACTAGGGTTCGCCCTTGCAGCAATGGCCCCCAGATTTCACATACGCTATCCACAAACGTCAACGACGTTTTGAAAATACAGTGTTCTTCGTCCTTAGCATATGGTAGCTCTTGCCATTGCCATTGCAATCGGTTCAACACAGTTGCATGCGGTAAAAGCACTCCTTTAATCATAATATTGGTAATTAATAAGAGAAAAATTCGAATCAAAGTCCATAAAAATATTATTCAGATCAGGATGGCAGATAATTTTAACAATTCGTGTAATTATCATAATTATAATTAATATATTCGTGTCTTATAGCTTATACTAGAGTTTCTGGCTTGTTTTAATCTTTCGATTGTAATGATGGATAATAAAAAAACTGTGACATTGATTCTGAAAGATTAACAACAAGAGAAGAATAATTATTCAACTATTTTTCGACTTACCAAGTATAAGACAAGAGGAGTTGAAATAATTTTGGAATTTTTTTATCATTGTAAAACGAAATTAGTTTGTAGCTAATTATGTTTATATTAATATATTATGAAAAATTATAATTGTATTAATTAATACATTAACTCTCTTCAACAAAGATTTCAAAGTTCTTCGAGAAACTACAAAAGATCATGATGCGTACAGACCACAGAAACTGAAAAGTAAACATTGTTTTACAACAAAATAATCTACGATCTTTTTCCAAAGTTCTTCACAAAATTCCGTAAATTTGTCTCGCGAATAATCATAATACAAAAAGTTTATTACTATACAATTACACTTAGAATTAATACAACAAGCTCTCTAGTGTTATTTTTGGTTAAATTTATTATTACTGTACGTATCTAATAACTAATTTATATAAATAATACCTTTAGGCGTGCCCGTGCTCCCCGAAGTATACAGAACTATAGCAGTCGTTTCGGGATTCTCGTCGTACTCTAAATCCTTCTTTTCCTCAACTTCAGACTGTTTTAACAGTTGCTCGTACGTTATAGTGTTCGTTCCCTCGTAAATAGACGGATCCGCTGAAAAGAGAGATACATACAATCTTCTTAAGACTGAGATTCTTAACGTTACAACTATCGGCAAATTGTAGGATCAGAAGATCAGAGAAATTAATATGCAAGGGATAAGAAAAACGATGGAGAGCAGAAGCTTTTATTTAAATTTTTATTTAAATTTTCACAAATTCCCACCAATTTGATCCTATATCCAGGGTGTCTAACAAGTCAGTCGAGTCAACTTGTCAAGCTAGACAAGTTAGTTACAACAAGATTGTCAACGATCTAGATCTCGAGCTTTTCAATGGATCTCAGATAAATCTAAAACGCGCGTAAAGCGATGAATATTATCTTTTGCACATTTTCATCTCTATTATTTTGTTTCTCATGTTATTATATTTTACTGTTATCGTCTTTACATCATTCTCTTTTCATATTTCTCTTTACTGGATTTTCCCCCGATTGGTAAATAAATATCTTTGTATGGGGTGGGCTAAAATAAACCCGTAATTTTTTTATTATATATTTCTTTTGATCTTTTCTTCTCGCAGATTAAAGTACGCAAATCTGAGTTCATAGTTCGAACTTAAATCTAATTTGAAATTAATAAAATTAGTTTTTTTCTTATATTTTGATGTTTCATTAAAAAAAAAAAAAAAAAAAAACTTTTAGCCTTGTATATTATATCGTACTATATATTCTGTTATATATACACATTTTTGTAACGTCCAGTTTTTCACAAATGCGTATAATTTGATCGCGATTCGCGCTATATCGCGAAGCGCGGAAATCAGCGCGTGTTTTCATATTTAGGACTCGTTCCGAGTCAAGAGAGATAAAAGGACAAAGAATAAGTAGAGCAAAGAATTCTTGAAAGGACAATTCTCTTGGAATTAATTGTGATTAATTAGTACAATTCCGATACGGCTCTCGGTTGAACGACGAGCTACACACAACAGGTGAGGAACGAGCGTGAAACAAATGTCAATGAAATCGTTAAAGATTCCGGAAGATTGCGACCGGAAAGATCGAAACTGTTCGCAAGAGCGAGCAGTTATAATTGCCGACCTTCTAAAAATCTAGCACGGTGATTTGCATAGGTGGCAAGGTCCTTCCGTTTACTGCTCGAAGGAAAAATCGTTTTTTAACGACGTGACACGATTCAGCAGCAGCAGGCTTGACACGCTTTTTTTCTCTCTTTGTCTC